GTAGAATAGCAAAAGGCATTAATATTCGAAAAAACTTGTATAATGTAAATCTTGCTTTTAAAATTTAATTATTCAATTATAGAAATTAAATAACAATGGAATTATCATAACTAAGAATCACTAGCATATTTATTTATTATTAAGTAATAAGATTTTATTTTCAACTTTTTATTTATCGATCGGCCAGTATTGACGTCATACTGGACGTCCAGAATTACGCAAAATTTTATTAACTTTATAAAACATTATTTCATTTTAGAACAATAAGTTTGTTGTATATATATTTTATTTTATATATATACAAAAATATGTATTATCATTTTGGTTTTTGGATTGTATATATTTATATTATCAGAACCAGTAGTCAAAGCATAGTGGGTTCTATTGGCAATTCAACAGATATCTTTCATATACTTCATGTATTTTACTACAACATAGAATTAGACACAGTATTACCAGACCTTCTATATCTATCCAAATATCTATTTTCAAATAGGCCTATTTACTTCCGGAATGGATACAGTACTTAAATTCTAGCTAAATCGATCTTAGTAAGAAATTCCGTAGCACTACAACTGTCAAAAAAAATTATATTACTCTATATATGATTCACATACTCAGAAAAAAAATTTATTTAATTTAACCAGATTATAATTAAATCTCAGGACATAATATTACATGTTACTCTTTATATCTTCTTAACCTAATGAGCTAAATTTTTTTAATGAAATGATCAAATCAATTTAACTAGTATGTGGTTAGAGCACTGCCTGTTTCACTGTCATTTTTATGTTCGTTAGAATTAGTAACAGATATTCTAAAATTGGCAAAATCTAACTTGATAATTGGAGAGTCCACAATAAAAGAGAATAAAACTCTAGAGAATTTATCGATAACAATATTACAAGACTATTAAGGAATATAGCTTAAGTATTTCAGAAATATTTTAAAACACAGAACTACGAAAACTCTTACTAGATTTATATTAGACGTCATATAGTATGTTGATGCTTTTTGCGAATATAAGAAGTGCTTGAAGCTCTTCCTGTACCCGACTTTTCATATCCTCATAAACTTAATTGAGTATAGTTTTAAGAAGTTTCTGAATTGCTAAGTTAAAATGACAATATTTATGCTAATGTACTCAATATTATTGTTTTGTTATAAATTTATTTTTAAAAAGAGTTTTTCAATAAACTGTTGATTTTATTGTATATTGTGTTTTAAATTTTTTTAGTAAAACATTTTCATTATTATTCACATTACACAAAAAGTGCATTAGAGTCTAATGACAGATCATAAACTGAAAATTAATAAAAAAAATTAAAAGATTTAAACTTTGTTATTTAAAAGAAACAAGTAACACTAACTTAACTAATAAAAATCAAATTAAAAAAAAATGTTTATACTCATTAATGTAAATAGTGATCCCTTAGAGATTACCTAATAAAGATCACATTTTTATATGACCACTGCAAAAAATGTACACTAATAAAAAAGCAAGTAATAAAAAATGCATTTACATTCAATTAATAATAAGTATAATTTTTTTGTTAGATAATATATTTAATTAACATTATTTTAAATAAAGTCAAATAAAAGTCTCTCAAACCGGCTGTCATTTATTTCATTAACTATTTTTAATAATCTGTATAGTTCTATTCTAATTCTAATTCTAACAAAATGTGTATTCCACAAATTGTTGCAACTGAGTGATCTTTAACATTTTTTGTTATTTGTACAAATGTGTTTTCATTTTTAAAATTTAAATAAAATTAAATTTCACACTAAGCGGATTTACAGATCAGAGATAATGAGCGATCCAAAAAAACAAAAAAAAAAAAAAACATATATTGAACTTTGCCACACATTTTGGAATATATTTTTATATGAGATACATATATTTATTTTTATTTAAATTTAGACTTTATATCTATATTTTTATCTGTATATATGATGATAGATAGACAACACAATTCTATCTGACATGCGCTCACGCAATGTGAGAAATAAATTCAAATTTTTATCTCAACTATATAGAGTTCAAGTATTTTTAATTATAACCATTTGTAGTATAGTATATATATAAATAATTCTCTCTAAATTAACAAAATGTTTATGAATGTTTAAATTTAAAATTTTCATGCTCTAAAAAAATTTTCTATCGCGTAATAATTAAAAACAATTAAAAAGCAAGCTTTGAGTTTGACGATGCTTCAATGTACTTCACCCAGATCGTTTTTTTTTTTGCTATATACATATACATATATATATATATATATTATACTCATTTCTGAAAACTATTTTTATGAGTATTATATTTTACAGCAAATCTATTTTATTCATTTATCGATTATATCCACCTGTATGGTATTGCACTTCTAAATATGTGACCAATATATGATTGTAATATAAAAATAGGTACCAATAGTCCCCTAAATGAAAAACTTTATGTAACCTATTTCTATGGTTTTGTCGAAACATCTTTTAGTTAAGGTTAGGGAAGCTTGCTGATGTGCGTGTGAAAGAACTTTAGTCAATTTTAATGTAATGTTCGACTTTTTTTGATCAATGATTAATTTATTTGATCAATGATCTAATTTTTTTGATCAATGTCTAATTTTTTCGATCATTCCGTTAAACCGACTTTTTAATGGTGGCCTTTAGATGTAATGAACTAATTTTTTTGTTCAATGATGTAATTTTTTTGATTAATGATCTAATTTTTTTGATCAATGATCTAATTTTTTAGATCTTAAAGTTAAATCAACTTTTTAATGGTGGTCTTTATATAATATTTTTATGTGAAGATGCCATTTTGTGTTATGTTCAGACTTAAGTACAGTTATTTTCATAGTTTTAAATTTCACTACCCTTAATATCATATATATAATATAATGTTATCATAGATGCAATATATAAATTCATACATTCATAAAGGAATTGCTTGTTTTTATTTCATTATTTATCAAGTAAAAAGTTTTTAATTAGGGAAATAATTTGAGTTCTTTCCTCACCTCTTCAGGATGTGTTGATGCTATAAAATTATGCGATATATCGTTTTTACTAGTTTAAACACATAATGTAAAAAAATTTTGGAATTGGTTTAAACGACATTTTAAATGTTTTATGTTTTAAACGCGTCTACTGATGTGAATCTGAAAAAAACACATAAATACATACTACCTATTTTTTACTTGTAATCATATTCTTCTTATTTGGCTATAGTCCAGTGTGTAGTGGTAAAATATTTCCGTTCCAAGGTTGCTGGCCTTGCGATCAACCTGGAGGGCCAGATCTCCTTATTTGCTACCCTGAAGATAGGATTAGTATGCAATATTTAGAGAATTTCCTTACAAGTATATGTTTTCAGGTTATATGTAAACAACAGGATGCCCCAGGGTAGGTGGGGTTGACAATTGAGAAGGTTAGGCTATATATTCGCATCACTCCTCCTTTGTAGCGCACGCTTTTAACCCTTACATCACTTTTTACTTCTAATATACGTTTTAAATTATTTATATTTTAATTTATTATAAATACTTTTTCATTCTAAATTAAAACTAAATGATTTTTTTACATTATTTTAATAAGTAACATAAGTAATATTGTAGTTTTGGTTTATAATCTAAACATTTTTATAGAACAACATTGATAAATTTAAAAATATTACTTGATATTACTTATCGTGAAAAATGCGTTCTCAGTTCAAACTTGAACTAAATTCTAATTTTATTATAATACTAAATAACCTTTTTGGATTTGTCGATTATGAAATAATAAAACGATAACACATTATCCGCTTGTACTTACAAATATATTTCAATAATTAATTATGTATCGTGGTAGTTTTTCAACAAGTATACCATATACCATATAAATTATATCTGTATGATAAGATAGAATAGAACCGAAAACAACAGCGTTCTGGTAAATATTTTGTGTTTACAACTGACCCTAACCGAAGAGAAAACATTTAGCCTTCTGATAAGATAACATTGAACTTGATTAAAAAATTTTGTTAAAAATATTTTCTTATATGTATATAGTGATTAAAAGAATTTATTAAAGATTCAATATTGATTAAATTATTATGTGTTTATATTTAAAAGAATTTGCTTAAAAAAGATTAATGCTCTTCAATCAACTACATCCATTTTGTTTAGGTCGTCTATTAGGATTTTGGCGTTTGTTAAGTCAGGGCTTAACTATGTTCAATTTTTTCTTGTTATGGGTCCCTACTATATTATCAATTATCTGGCTTTTCCTTGGTTTATATCTAACTACTTTCTTTTTGCCAAATGTACCATACAACTTTTTAAAACTTTATGGGCAGATGAATTTTCTACATAATTGCAATGCATATACCTAGTAAATATGTTCACAATAAAATTTATAGAAACGAAGTCTTTTTTTAAATAGTCAGACATTAATGAAAATTGTCTTCATAGCTTTCCTAAACTAGATACTGAGTTAAGTAAGTTAAACGATATATCGGGAGATGATTACTATTTGCAAGAAATTAATAAAAGCGCGTAAGAGCGTCCATTAAACAAATTGACCAAAATCGATGGCGTGAAGAAGACGTCTATCCCAAAAAAGTGTTCAATCATAGAAATCCAAATATCTCAAAAACAGTTTAAGGAGCTTAAGGAGCTTACTATCCTAAAAACTTTTAACCTTAAAACTTTTGCAAATGCTTTTTGTTAACCTTTCATGTACCTTACAAATATTATTCATCGAACATTCTATAAAGAAAGAGTTTTTCATCCCTTTTCCTACAATCCACCTTTGATGCAAGCTACCTACTACTGTTCTCTGGTGAAACAAGCAATATCACTCAAAGCGTCCGAGTAATAATAACAATGTTTATAAAATTATATTATTAAATTATAAAATTAAACTTTTTATATCCTTTTAAATATTTTTTTAATATATAAAATTCTTGATCTCTCTTAAAATTACTTAAAATCTCTAAATATATTTTCATTTACTTTTAGCTCCAACGGAATTGACCTTTACAGTGTTGTCGTCCTAGTTATTGACATTATTGTATTGCAAATCAAATTCTGGTTCACCTGTGTTCAATCAATCATTCAGGCATTCCTACCAAAAGAAGAGACTAATGTGCAAGGTGAAGCAGTTTTAGTCACAGGTACAGGCCATGGCATTGGTAAAGAATTAGCTTTGCAATATGGTAAACTTGGTGCTAAAGTTATTTGCTGGGATATTAACGAGAAGAACAATCAACAAACAGTTAAGGAAATTAAAGCTAGTGGTGGAAAAGCCTTCGCATACACGTAAGTCAAAAACTCTTTAAAAGAATTTCCATTCCAAGAAATTTAGTAGTATTATGAAGAATGATCACAACAATATTACCTATACTTACAGTTGCAATGTAATGAATCGTAATGATATCAACGAATTGGCTGACAAAATCAAAAAGGAACATGGATTCATTTCAATTATTGTCAATAATGCCGGTATTATGCCCTGCCATCCTCTCTTACAAACTACTGAGACTGAAATAAGAAATATGTTCGAAATCAATGTCATCGCACACTTCTGGGTATGTCTCTTAATATAACACACATTATACATAAATCGAACTATAAAAAAAATTCATTTTGAGAAACATAATTAAATACCCGATAATTAATATATGTTATACTATATATTATGTATATAAAGATACTATAAAGTAAATTTCTTATTCACGTATATTTACAGATCATTCAAGCCTTCTTACCAGAAATGATTGAAAGAAACCAAGGCAACATTGTCGCATTATCATCATGTGCTGGTCTTTTCGGCTTACCTAACTTAGTGCCATATTGCGGTACTAAATTCGCAGTACGCGGTATCATGTCTGCTTTAACTGAAGAACTCCGCCAAAATAATCCAAACAACAATGTAAATACTTTTTAATTATTGTATAATACACTGAATTAATAATTCTCTATATATTAACCCTTACAGATTAAATTGACTTCTATTTATCCTTACATGGTGGATACTGGTCTCTGTAAGAAACCACGTTATCGTTTCCCCAATTTAATGAAATTGGTAACACCAAGCGATGCTGCTGCCTCAATTATCAGTGCCCAACGTACTGGTCTTGAAGAAGCCAGTATACCACGCCATTTCGTTCATGTTGACAAAATTGGACGTCTTTTACCACGAAAGGCCATGCGTCTCGTTAACGACTTTTTGGACACAGGCGTTGATTCAGACTTGTAAATTCCTACAATAGTTTTATGCATTTAGTCATTTTGTTATTAATTAATTTTAATGTGAAATCATGTAGTTAAATTTGTTGTTAAGGACTGGGAGTTAATTTAATAAATATTTTTTATACCAAAAAATTACATATTAACTGTGGAAGTTTTATTAAATTTTTTTCACAGCCGTGAGCTGTATGAAGAACTATACTTTAAATATAAAATGGTCTGTTAGGCTAATATTCATAAACAGTAATACAAAAATAGCTCAAAAGTTAAATAATCTCTATTTATAGAAAAATTTTGTTCTTATATATAAAGTCCAGTTTTTTCCCAAAACCCTTACTTACTTGAAGAAGCCACATGGGCTGCACAGGAGTTACAGGGCTGCATTTTGAACAGATATCAGGAATAAATGAGTAGTTGTTGCAATTAGTAATGGAATAATAAGTATCTAAAATTTAAAGAAACTTATGCTAGACTAGCTCTTACTACTTTACGAAGTATATTTCTTCTTGAGAAATATGAAGAATGAATATTTTAGTATGCATCTTTTTACTTGTACTGGAGAACAGGTTTCGAGTTGCAATCTAAGTAAATGGGACCGCTTAGAATCGATAAGCCTGTCCATAAATCTTATGTCTATCACAAAATGCTCAAAAAGGATTAGGAACTAAAATCTACAGATATCTATAACGCCAAGTTGTTGTTTTTTTTTACAGAAAAAGAAAGCAACTCCATTTATGTTCAATGTAAACATTTAAACTTTATCACTGATTATATAAGCAGCGATAAAATCAAATACCTCTGACTACATTAAGTTCTTTCCTGTGTTCTAAAGACCAGGTAAGGCACAGAAAGGTTAGCCGCAATATGTAGATAGATTGGTATACACATATTATGTACCAATTCATAAAAAACAAAATAGTATATGAGATTGTCAACAACCCTGTTCGTAGGGAGTTGGAACGAAAAAATATGAAGGCAAGCAATGACAAGGTTTAAACAATGACTAGGTTATATCAAAATTAAACGAAAGAAAGTATACTCGACTCGTACCAGCGCTCTAACAAAAGGATTACAGACCGATCGTAGGTCTACTGGTTGGCTAAAATAGGAATCATTAATAATAAAACTTTCAGAAAATACGGAGAGCTGAAAAACGATGAGAATTTGGAACATTTCTCATGTTTATGCCCTGCGTTGTCACAAACACACTTTAAACGCTCGGTGGATCTTCAATTTATGAAGTTAGAAGACATATTACACTACAAGCACTATTTAGATTCAATATCTATGGTGTCATAACAGGTTATTATTTGTGCCCAAGTTAGCTTTGTTGCACCTTAAGCTAACCAAACCTTAATTCACCAAAAATGTTGAGATCCAATAAAAAAATCTATGCGGTACTTACATCCAAATCAACCAAACGTAACATCATACTTCCACAATTTTAATCTTTTATTTATTTTTGTTTTTTTTTTTTGAATAAATATAGACAAATTTATGAATCATTTTTACATAAACACTTACTTTATTTACACACAATACATAATATTTTTTAGGTGTACACATAACATATCTTGTATATAGAGAGTATTTATTTATTTTGTGACCACAAAAACCATTAAAAATACATTGCATTTAATTACATACATTTAATTTATAGAAACTATTTATATATATTGTATTACAATGTTTACATTTTATATTGTCTTTAAAAATTTTATATAAATTAATTTATTTTACATACATCAAATTAAAGTGTATATGATGTCAAAACATATAATATCTTTGGAATGTACAGATTTGTATTATTTTTCGAGATATTGAAATGAATAGTTTATATTAATACTGCTTACAAATCGAGTTTAAAACTTAATATATATGATTTCACAAAAACAAAAATTTCCTAGATTTTTATATTCTTATAATATATAATAACAATGTATAAAATTCATAAGCAAAAATAAAGATTTTTTATATAAACTTGAAATTTGCACTACATATCAAGACTATACTATAACGTCGTTCTTTTAACATAAAAGTACAATTGATATAAGAAATAATACCAAAAGCCATGAAAACTCAACACAACATATTAATTACATTATATGATAACGTAGGTTTAGTTTTAAAATATTTATAACGAAAATTTTTTATCAATTAAAACAAGTTTACTTTTTTCAAAAATTGTCAATAATTAATTAAAAAATTTTAACTGATTTATTTTTAATTTTTTTTTTTTATCAAAAAGCCACGCTAAAAATAAATTTGTCTGAAGAAAAGAAAAACGTGTACTAAATACAGGTTTTTCATTTATAAAAATTTATAAATATTTTCAACAAAATTTTATATGGTTCAAAAGCATCTTCTACTTATTTACTAATAATTTTACATTACAATTTTTTTTATAAAAACATTTCAATATCAAGAACAAGGTTTTATAATCTACTCTGAGCATTATTTACTACTGCCGCTTGTACCAAAATGGGTTTGTATATGCTGTTGTTGGTGTTGTTGTTGGTGTTGCTGTTGTGAATGATGATGATGATTGTGACTATGATTGTGATTATGATTATTGCTGTTGTGACTTGTTGTTGATGTTAAAGCATTTGCGTTAAATGCATTTGTAGTAGTTGCTTTGACTTTGATGGTCTTGCCATTGGCTGTCACTTTAAGTTGACGTATTTCAGGGAAAAATTCGATCATTAATATCTCAAGTAGTTCCTAATAAGAAATTTTTATTAAAATTGAATTAATAAATATTTTAATTACTTACGTAAAATAATTGCTTATTATAAATTGGATTTTGTAAAGCATCAAAGACTTTTAGCACACCATGTTTGGCAGCTTGTGCACCAACCAAATTGCATAGCACCTCCGGTATATTATCCATTAGTAATGCCTTTGCAGCATTTGTTGTCATCTCTTTCATATCATCAGAACGTACTGGATATGCGGAAGCTAAAACACCTCCTGGCCAAAATGATTTTAGAATGGCGGAAAAATAATGATGTAGCATTGATTCCTCAAAGAGACCCATCACAGATTCACGTATTTGCCTAAGTTAAATAAATGAAAATAAATATTGAATATATATATTTTAAATATTTTATATTTATTAAAACAAATATTTTAATATGTTCTTTTATATATAAAATAATGTTATATTAATCATTTATATTAATTTATATTAATCAAAATCGTCAAGAACTTCTAATGTATAAATATTTATTATAATATTAAATACATTTCAAGGTTAAATGTAAATAACTACTGCATATCGACTGATCCCCACTTTAAGTACTTACCTATTAATTGTTCTACCATAAGTTATTTGTACAAACGAAATCATACTCTTTCGTAGCCATTTAAAAACTCCACCCATATCGAATATTTCTCCCAACAGTGCATATAATGGTTCAGCTATAGAATCTTTAACATCTAAATCAGTTAGAAGTTTTGCATCACCTGCTGTGTCACCTTCCAAATATGTTGATATGTCTTCCTCATCACGATGTAAACCCCAAAATGGATCTGCTGCTTTATTTAATTCATTTGCTTTGGCAGCATCACTTTTAAATAAGGTTGACAATGAAAATTTGGATTTTTTCGGAGATGGCATCGTTTGTTTTAAATGATCTGAACTGGGACTCAAAAATGTATAAATTGCTTCGCTGCCATTTAGATGATCATCTTCTAGAATAAACTATTTTCAAAACAAAGGAAATTATTATAAAATATTATAAAATATGATAAGCTAGAGAAGTCAATAAATATATTATTTTTTTTCTGTTCTGAAATGCTAAGAGGATAAACTTGAAAACCTATAATTGATACAATAACTCCAATAAATGCTAATAATGATAAAGCATAATCTGACAGGATCATATAAAGTTAAGCTTAGCGTAGCTATACACAATATAGATTGCACATTTTAAATAGCACTGGTGTGATCCACAAACAATATATATAATTTTGGTTACATAAGTTTAGGATATTATAAGGTAAGGATGGAGTAAGAAGTAGTATTGTTTGGGATTAAGGATGGATGAAGGGTAGTTGGGTTTCCGGAGCAGCCGGGTTTACGGCCCAAAGCCAGACGTCAATCAGGAGAGGTTTACCACTCCTGCTAATATAGAAGTTTCGTCCTCTTGTCCTGACCAACAATTATCATTATAAAATTAACAACTTTGAGAACTTTGTTGTTATAAAATAGTGAATTTGAAGCAGTGGACATGCTGCAGTATAGGACGCAGAAAGTCATAGACGATATTCAACCTCACTGACGTTGTCTCCGTTGCAATAGATGTAGATGTATTTATGACATGAAGGAAGAGAGATCGAAGTATGAAACTAAAAGAAACGAAAAGGTAAGACTCTACTTACTGTTGAGTCATTTGAATGTTCATTCAAAAAGGTCAAAAAGTAACTACCGGACTTTATTTTCGTGCGTTGTTAGTTGATGTTTGAACTACCTATATAAAATCAGACTCAATCTATTCATTTTAAAACTTTGACCAACAATTTTTCTATATATTTTTTCTATATAAAAATCTATACAATAGTCAAGTACAAACTAATGACATAAATAACTCTTTCACAGCTATGATTAATAAGAGTAAATATACATATATAAATATACATAGTACATAAAAATGATATGTTATTTAATAATGAATTCTCAATGGGATTGCATTAATTATTCATTATACAATGTTAAGCAAATCTAAATTTTTTTTCATATTATAAATAAAAAATATTATTAATAACACTTACGTTGAGAAACTTCTGTATTTGTCCTCTCGCTTTTTCTAGGGCTTGTTTGTCATTTTTCAGAAAGAAAAATTTAAAATTTGTAGGCAAATCAAGTGATTTTAAATTAGCCGAAACGTGCCTTAATTTTCGTTGTAGATCCTATAAAAATAGAAAATTATGATATAAACTTTTTAAATAAAAAATTTATTTGATATACCATACAATCATACTAAATTATATTATGCAAAATAAATTTAGAACTAGTTTTTATCTAGCTTAATATAATTTATTAGTACTTATTATATAGAAATTTATAATTAAAAATAAACTTATAGGAATACAAGAACAAAGTTAAAGTTTATCTTATAAATTTTTATAACAGTATTTAAAAAGCCTTTTTTAAATTAAAAAAAATTATATTATTTAAACAAATTTTGTGCATGGGTATTCAGAGCCTCGGTGGCGCAGTAGGCAGCGCGTAAGTCTCATAATCTTAAGGTCGTGAGTTCGAGCCTCACCCGGGGCAATATTTTTTAATAATTATAGAAATGCATATATACCTATATAGAAGTATTTTCGAACTTACGTGTACTTGATTTAAGGATCTCATAACAACCCAGCCACTTGAAATGTTACCAAGTCGTGCCTCTGATTTTCCAGTACCTGAAGATGGCGGTGCATTTATATCTTCATCAACATGCACTAAAATCATAAATTGCAGTGATTCTTTTTCATCTGAAACCTATGTATATAATAAAAGGAATCATTAGCTAACATTTAAAAAAGAAAGAATTTCGTAAATGAACAGTACACCTAATGCAAATATAATTAATTAAGAGAACAAGAAATATAGTAAGATATAACACATGTGGTTTAGATTTTTCATTAATTTATAAAAAATACATACCTCTACACTTTGTATAGTCGCCTTCCATTTGCCCAGATGTTCAGTCCATGCATCTGTACGTTTTAAATGCGCTTCCGTTTGTCTTTTTTCATTTTTCAACCAATCCATCTCCTTTTCCAGCATTTGCAATACCTTCGATTCTGGTTTCACTGAGTATTTCAAAGCATCGAGTGCTTGAATTTTTTTATCGATGCGTTCCTGTATTTGTTCTAACTTTTTTCTTGAATAAGACGTATGCGCTGCTACATCCATTGTTGCAGTACCACAGCCATCTGGATCTAATGAGGTAGTTTGTTCATCCTGATTATCATTCAGTGTGCGTAATAGTAAGGTGGGATCTTTAAAATCGTCCGAGTTAATTGTTTCTTTAAGTAAACGATACTGTTCGCTCAACACAAATGGTGGATAATATTTTTCTTCTAAAGTTTTCACTATATTCTTTTGTATATCAAAAAATATATCAGGACCAGTATCGCCAAGTAAAAATGTTTCTATCAATTTTCTTTCATGTTTATCAATTTGTATTTCAGGCTTTGGCACTCGAATGTAAGTATAAAATATTTCAGTGCCCAACTGATGCCAAGATGTTTTATTGGTATGTTTCATTTCTTCCACTGCTAAGTAAAATCCAACTAATGCACTGGCTTTTAGTGGTTCTAAGAAAATTGTTAGGTATCTACGACCAACAGATGTGCTAAGTATTTCAATCAATGTGAGATCCTTTAAAAATAAAATAAAATATAGTCAAGTGAGTAGTTAAAAAATATTCAGAAACTGCCATAAGAAAAGGGAAAATGGCGCTCGGTACGGCAATACAAACTATAAGTAAATTTAAATCTGATTCTTGGGAAGGTCGGGCTAAACTTTTCGACTGTACTGTATCCGTAACACTTTTATATGCATCAGAAGTGTGGGGTCTACGTTACTGTGAATCACTAGAAATCGTTCAATCAACGTACTACAAACGTTTGTTAGCACTCCCCCAAGCTACGAACAATGCAGAACTTAGACTTGAACTAGGCCTTGTAAAAATCTCATATAGAGTTTTCAAACGCGCAATCGATTTCATTATACGAATTCTCCAAATGGACCAATCAAGATATCCCAAACAATGTCTCCTTCGTCTCATTTACCTACACGTAAATAATTCTTCTACAAGTGAATTTAATTGGGTTACACAATTTAATGAGTTTCTTAAAGTTGTAAATATGACAAACTTGTGGAAAACACCGACTGCAGCAACTTGGATTGATAACCGAACTACGGCCCTTGAACGCTATCATAGATATCTTAAATTCAAAGACATTCTAAAATCCGCCAACTCACAATCCATGAATTGCAATTTATTAAGAGCCCTGGATGACAAACCTGCCTGCTACCTCTTTGACCGTAAGCAATTTTTTATGGCAAAGGTTATCGCCCAATTGCGGTTGTCATCAACTCACTGCACTCGTTTTTGTATTAACGGGCAAATTCATAGACTCGAAATCAACAACCTTTGTACACTTTGTAATTTAAAAACTGAAGAAACGTTGAATCACTTTATGTTTGAGTGCCCTATTTTACTCCTCAGTAAGAGATCACCATCTTAGTTTCTTACTTACAGTCTTTAGAGACAATAAATCTCTCATTTTCAACTGCATTGATCCGCAATCATCTAAAGCAATATTCACATATATAGTAAATAGTCTTAAAATCAGATCATTTATTATAAACGAATAAGATTTTGCAAAATTACAATTATTTCCCTACTATTTATTTAACTTAACCTTTTTTTTGTTTTTATCTAATATTTTTATTAAATCTAATTAGTAATATTTTTAATTTAAATTAAAAATAAGTATACATCAAACCTCCTTCTGTTACAACTATAAGTTCAGAAGCAGAAGTAAATAAATGTTGAATTGAATTGAAATTGAGTTAAAAAATATTATATGTACACTTACCAAATCACTGGAATAATTACCATTCCAACCAAATTTAGACAAATTCTTTTCACATTGAATTTTTGCAAAGTTCAGTTGCTGCACATAACGTTTTAAACGTACAGCAGCAGATATTTCTGATTTGGAGAGGTTATGATCGTCTGTATCTGGATCAATAAATTAATTTGTATTATATATGCTTGTCTAAATTAGAATATTTTTAAAAAGTTTATACCTTTGGCACGTTGTAAGTTTTGCATTGTGGTGGCATGCATTAAATCATTAACGATGCTCTTTCGTATAAGTGATAATTCCTCCAAATTACCGGAATTATTTATTATCTTCAAAAAATCTTCAAAACTTGCTGCGTATTCATAGCTACGTTTATTGATAGCAGCTGCTGCTAGACGTGACTCAATGTTTTGTACAACTTTTTGATTGATATAATCCGATGATGTCAACATTTTAATCATGGGAAAGAATACTGCAAGTATATGTCATGTAAATCTTTTTTTTTTTTTGAGAAGGTTGTGAATATATTTACTTTTATATGATAAAATTTCACATAGCAACACTTTTAATGGTGGAAGAGAATAACCTCTTGGCAATAATAATATCACCATTATTTCACATAATTTATGCAAAAATTCCATTTCTTTTTCTTCACTGACCAAATATGAATTTGTTGAAAACACTGGCGCACTAGAAGTTTCAACACTGTAATATATAAATGTTTTATGTTAATATTGTATATTGTTAATTGTATATAATTATAATACTTACGCCCTTGCTTCAGCAATGCGTATCTTTTCTAAATGTACTGTAACCCGATTAACCATATCTACAGCTATAATTTTTGGTGCATCCATTTTTATGGCACGATCATGTATTTTTTGAACAGCATTCCAGAAGTCCTCACGTACGATGTCATTGATAAGCTTAGGCTTAGTCACCACATAACTAAAAATAAATGGTTTAGTTGCTATTCAATTATTTGTTTAAGTATAATATGGTGTATTAAAATTAAATAAAAATGTAATTAATAATTTTTATGTCTTATAAGAGAAATGTATATATAACTGTTTCGGTTACTATTGAATATCAATGATCAGATACAATAAAATATCTATTATCAGTCTTCTTGAAAAATACTATCAGTCTATACACCTATTTCGGTCACTATTAAATATCAGTTATCAGTTCCTTTAGATTTTAATAACAGAAGAGTACATACAGCTGTTTTGGATACTATTAAATATCCATTATCAATCTTCTTGAAAAGTACTATCAGAAAAGTCTATATACCTGTTTTGGTTACTATTAAATATCAATTATCAGTTCTTTTGGAAAGTATTACCAGAAAAATACATACAGCTGTTTCGATTACTGTTCTATAGTATACATATATATTACACATATAATAAATAATAGTATTGATAGAATACTGAAGAAAGTAAAGAAAAAGACATCTATCGCATAGTAGAGAAAAGACCTCATACCATAACCACCACCAAACAATTCCAAGAAAATAAATATTAATATTTTAATTATAATCATTATAAATTATTTAAAACCGTTTACGTCACCACTGACATTATATTTATACAATACATATATCTATATTTAACTATAAATAAATATTCATCTATTTTTAGCTCTTTGTGTCGTATTACTAAACTATTTATAACGACAATATGACGTATATACTTTTTTGTATATACGTATATATGTTTTCTAAAAAGTTCATATGCCTTCAGAAAATTCGCTTAATACTCCCGTGGTTACTTTTGTTTTGCTGTATTACATAATTATATGGTATTATATATATATATAAAGCTTATAACTATGGCGATTTTGCAGTCTGCAAACTACGTTTATATCTACGTTTATAGATCTGAGTTTATATAGTTATAGTTCATTTTAGCACAATTAAATTCCAGTAGTAAAGTTTTAATGATATACAGTTTGGTAGCTCGTAAAATTGAAAAAATTTTAGCAATCCCATTATTAGGCCACTAAAGAGACATAAGTCTTTCGATTTGCTGATGGATCACTATAGGTTAAAAAATCGTTCTGCTAAAATTCTCTTCAATGACTTTTGCCGAAAGAGGAGAAGGTAGGGCTTGGAGTCACTAGGCAATGTAACATGTCTAGCGCAATCTTAATCCAAGCATTCAGCGCATTCATGTAGCACTACTGAATAGTTACTTGGCACCCGCTAGGTAATGAACTTATACTGCATACTGCGAGCCCTATCCCCAAGAACGGACGGGTCTACATCCCGGAGCCACTCATCAAGTATGATGACCAAATGTCATTCAACACTCCCAAAAGGGACAATACAAGCAGATCGCTGTTGGCTACAACAACAACAGTCCTATTCCCAAGAATTTAAGTTTGAGTTGTGCACATGATTTGTAATTGTCACGTAAGGGTTTATAATCAGCCGTCAATGTAGAACGTAAAGTAGATAACATAAAAGACATTACATGTAGATGGATATTGGTTCTGTTAGAGGAGAAGGGTAGATATTCTCACATTACTAAATTTAAAAATTTTTATTTTCTTAAATAATAGGCTATCGATTGGATTAGTTAATACCAAAATCAAAAATTTTTATCATTGAGTTGAATTTTTATCTAAAATAAATCTCAAGAGAATACTGCATTATTCAAACTCTATTATCTTTATACAAATAAACAGTAAATGTAAGAAATAGATAACTTATATTCCTAGACCTAATCTAAATAAATTTTTGAAATTTTTTTAAACAATCTTACCCCAACCAAGGCAGCATGAAATCCCGCAATACATATTCAATTATTTGTTGTAATTGTAGGTCAACAGTCTTCCCAAATATCAATGGCAAATTTGATGGATTCTTAATTGGATTTGGCAAATCGAAAATACTGCTTCTGAAAAACAAATAAAAAATAATACAGAATACAAAATACAATAAAATAAAATAATTAATTATTTAAAGATTATGACTTAATGAAATGCTATTATTTACTTTGTGGCATTGTAGAGCACATTGGAAGGTTCCCGATTAGGTTTGATTGGTTCATTTGTGGTGAAGATATAATGTATATAAATAGTAGCGACGACAGCTGCAAATAAATACAAATAAATAAAATAGATTTTAATTAAATTATGGGAAATTTTACAATAAATATATTAATTGGAAAAATATACAAAAATATGTATGGATAAGCAGCTTACTGATAAGAATAGTTTTGCTTTTTTTTGTTTTTGTTTTTGTTTTTAGAAGCAAACAAACTGTCAAACACAGACAATATTCAAACGAAATGGTCAAAGTACATTAACATCATTTGCATTTTACTTACCCGCCAGCGCCAAGAGCAGTGAATAACCTACAAACAGGAAAACGAAGAAAAACGCCGGATAATACCAGAGTACGGCCAATAGTGCCAAGGCGAAGGCGGTAGCATATATTTTCCAATTCACTTGCAAAATACGCAGTACATAACGCAGCTTTGTTGTTGCACTGGTGGCAGCATCGTCAATCGGTTCAATTGGAAATAATGGGCGGCGGCGGCTTTGCATTTTTTCCACTAAAAATTATTACCAACAACAAAAAAGCAACTGTGTTTCTCTACAAAACTAATTGCTTTATGAATTTTGTAAAATTCTACTGCAAACGATTTTAAAATACATTATTTATTTATAATTCATTGCCATAATTACGTCAAAACATTTATTTTAGCTGGTTATGGTTTTTTTTTCTCAGTATGACATTGTTTTTAAGCCTCTACTTCTACCTGCGCTTCTTCCTTATCCATATGTTTGTGCGTGCGTTGTTGTTGTTGTTGTCGGGTGTTTAAAGTGGGTGGTGGTTAGTTGGTTGAAGATTATTACGACCACTTTTTTTGTTTAATCAGGTACAAATCAATATTGAAAATTATTTTAGGCAACAAGTTATTAATAATAATTTTAATTGCGTGATTATAATAATAATTATCGGCGTCGTAAGCCTTAATTAAGAGTCGGCCTTATATATGAAAATCAATCTTTTATTGTATCTATCAAATGAATACGCAAATTGTGAGGCTGTGCTTAGAATATTCACATATTAATTATATTTTTTCAATATTTCAATTTCGTTTAAATTAACCTTTTGCTTTCAATTATACTTTTTCGTTTTTTTTTTATAACTTTATATATTTTAAATGTGTTGATATATATTTATTTACAGTTTCCGCGAAACTCTTGCTATTGCTACAATTCTCAGCGATGATTTTTTCTGAATGACGATAAATCCCAATAAAAACAATGAGTAAACCCCAAAAACTCTAAGTACAAAAACAAATCACTATTTTTAAGAAATACTCTTAAACAAATACAAGAGTATGGAATGAGAGTATAAAACAAAATGAAAATGTTTTTTTCCGTTTGTTGTGATTACATGCTTCAAGAAATGCTTCTTTTTGTATTTTATTCACAATAGAACATGCTAACTGTACTGTGAATAAGTGCTGATTTTGTGTAATATGGTCAACTTTATGCAAAAACTTTTTGTGTGCACAAAAAGTATATTAATAATTCAACTTAAATAATTAATGTATTAAAATAAAAATAAATAAATTGAAGTATACTCACTCATTTCGATAAAGGTTGATTAATTTAGTTGATTTCCAAGAGATTGCAAAACTAGCTTATGACGAAGCTTAAAAATTTGGTCTGTAAAGGTGAATATTCGCAGGTGATCGTATCTGTAAAAGTTCGTTCTTTCACAAATGTTCGCTTTGGTATGGATACACCTTAAGATGAATGTTTTAAAATTTTGATTGCGAGAACCTCTTGCTGCGTTTTTCCATTTTTGTATACAAATCGTATACATTTCTTATAGGAAACTTACAAAATATATGCAAAAATGTACAACTGAAGTTCGATAATCTCAGGTCTAAACGTAGAATCGTGTATGGTGTATAGATTGAACTGCATAACAAATACTTTAACATTGTAAAAATGTATAATTGAAACATTCAAAAAATTGTAAGTAATAAATAATTTTTTGATATTTAAATGTTTTAAAATATACATTAATTAAGACTATATAGTATATGTAATATATGTAATACATAATTACATGCATATAAACTAACACAAAATATGGTTGTGTCAAAGCGGTACACACTCTATAAACCTTTTTTTCTACTAATTCAAATTTTCACTATCCGTCTCAGTTTTACGCCATCTTCTATACAATTTCAAAATAATATGTTATAAGCAAATTAATTTGATTGTTTATGATTTTAAAATAAATTTAATATGTATTATATATTTATAGTGTTGACAACTCTAGCCGCTACCGTACGAGGAGAGCGCATTTTTCCACTTCTTATTGTGCGCCGCACACGTGCTTGTGTAAAACTAAAAGTCGACACAAAAAAATACTTTAAATAATTAAAATATGGGTAAAATTCGTTCAAAACTCAAACGCAATACAAAAGGTAAAACATGGAGCAAAGGACAGTCATCAACTTCTAATCCAGAGCAAATGAAACATCGTTTAAAAGCAAAGTCAAGATTCTTTCACTCCAACTTAAGTTTAGGTAAATAAATAAAAAAAAAGTATTAAAATATCATTAATTTAAAAAGAAATATTAACAATATCTTTTTTTTGTAATTCAGCACAAACAGAAGGCAATGAAACTTCTAATGCACTTACCTTGGAAGCGGTACAAAAGCATGAGCAGCGTCAAGCTTATAAACCTGAATCAACAGTTAATGACGTTGCCTTTAGTTTGAAATCATTTAATATCAATGATGAAGATGAATCTATGTCAGAATCACAACCAGGAGGCACATTTCAGACATTTAAAACTTTTGCTTCCACATATAGCAATTGCAGTAATATGAGCTTTAAAAAGTTGCTTGTAGGTTTTCGTGCTACATCAGATCTACATAAATCAATGCTTGCGATTTTAGCTGCTCTGACAGAAATAATTAAGGAACGTGGAGGTACCGAATCATCCACAGAGTATTTTCTATTATTAATGGAGCAAATTGAATCGAGCACAGAAGATGAGGATATAAAAGCTGGTATTTCTCTCTTAGCAATGGGCATTAAAACTGTACCACCGGCTGTTTTGAGAAAACGTTTCAGTGAAACTGGACAGATATTAATAGCATGTCTAAAACGTTTCATTGATCCTAGCCATCAAAACATAATACGTTATGTATGTGATTATTAAGTTTATTTTTAATTTTTATATAAAAATAATTTATTATAGATTATTGGTTGTTTATCTGTTTTACTGCGTGCACAAGAATATGCAACCTGGACGTATTCCTCTACATGGCAATATATCGATGCTATTCTTTCTTTTACCATACATGCCAAACCAAAGGTGAGTTTGCTAAATATTAATACCAAGAAGTTCTCCAATTGTGTTTTTTTTTCTTTTATGCAGATACGTAAAGCTGCTCAACATGCAATTGTTTCTATTGTACATGGCAGTATTTTTATGTTACCGGCGAAACCAGTAAATGAAAGTAACAGCAAAGATACTAATAAACAAGAGCCAGTAAAAATACATCCGATCAGTAGTCGCGTTGCTAAAAATTGTGTAAGTCACTTCCAGCCAGAAACATTGGCCAACTCACAAACAACTGTTCTACATGTACTTTCATTACTGAAAGATATTATAAGTGGATTTAAGTCAGAAGATATACGGAATATCTGTGAACATTTACTTTCCATAATGACGGCTGCAAATGTGCTGATACGCACTAACTGCTTTCAAGTATTGCATGCACTTTTTGCTTCACGTACCACAAATCTAAATGCTGAACTTTGTGCTAAATTGGTGGCAGCAATTCATGATTATCGACCAGACCGTGCGGATGTGCGACAAACGCTCGCCTGGTTAACTGTAATGAAAGAAGCATACATACATCTATCAATATTAGATATCAGTTTTTGTATGAATGCATTGCCTACTTTAATAGATATATTAGCAAATGATTTATGGTTATCGGATCGCACTGAAATTATAACTTCAGTGGCTAACTGCACAAAAGAATTGCTAAATGAATGTATTAAACCAGCTTGTGGTTCAATTATGTCAAGTGATATGTATCGCACACAAATAGAACGCATAATAACCTTGTTAACTAAAGTGCTGAATGCACCATTTGGTGATGTAGCCAAATATGTGATATTAACATTTTCTATTGTCTTCGAAACGTGCGGTGTAAACTTTAGGTAAACTTTACTTTTTTGTAAAAATTGTTTAAAACTAATGTTCATATATGTTTTGTTTCTGCAGGGAGGAATTAGCACCAGCTTTACTGACATTGGCTAAACGTTACGACACACAAAACACTTTTCGTATACAAATTGAACACTCAATTGTGGCAGCAATAACATACCTTGGCGCTGATTTTGTATTAAAGACAATACCAATTACTAATACGAAGGCTGAAGTTCTATTAGAAAAATCTTGGTTGCTTCCATTGTTGCGTGAAGGTGCTAAAGGTGCATCATTTAAATTTTTCAAAGAATCTATATTACCACTCGCTATGGATTGCTATAAGAAATGGCATCAATCTGAGCAACAAGATTCTACGGCGCATACTTATGAATTGCTTTGCTGTCAGTTATGGGGTTTATTTCCAGGTTTTTGTCGTGAACCAAAGGATCCAGAAAATTTTTATCTTATAGCACCCACAATTGGTAATGCTTTAGATAATAATCCAGAATTTCGTAAACAAATTTTTGATGGTTTCGTTGAGTTAATACAAAACAATGACAACGAAGAAATAAATAACGCACTGGCCAAGTATGCTAAAAACTTTTTGCCACGACTTTTCACTATATATAGACAGAAACCAAATGGTACATATGAAGCAGATTTACGTATAAAGTCTTTGGAAGTAATTAAAGTGAGTAAAACAAATATGTATTATAAATATTTAAAAACATTTAACTTGGTTTGGTATTCGGTCTTAATCAGTCTTCTAAAACGAACATTTTTCCGTTCCATATCGGTCTGAATACACTCCCTATTTTTAAAATTTATGTAACTCTTTTATCTTCCTAGTTATATTTAACCAAAACGCCTGAAGATATTTTAAATGAACTATTTGAATCGGCAAAGAGTCAGTTGGTTAAGGAAACCTTAGGAAGTTTTGAGTATGATGCAGTTTTTGATGTAACCGCTGCTTTGGTGCTCTTTCAAACCAGTGAAAACATACGTATATTTTTTGATACCTATATTGTTCCAGTTTTAAAGAATGAAAAATCTAAGCTAGTAGCGAAAGATGAACAAAAATTAAAAAAACAACAGAGAAAAACTTATGAGTATGTTAATAGTTTTAAATTAATTTTTTCATTATTTAATTAATTGTTTTAAATATTTATAATCCACTTTAAGGCTTTTGCGTGATTTACTCACTTCTGAGAGACCTTCTTGTCAAAAATTTGCACGAAAAAATGTGGTTGCTTTGCAAAAACTATTATTGGAAGCGTTCACGACTAGTTGTGCTGTTTGTCAAGCAGCGAGATTACGGTAGGTTTGTTTAAGTTATAAACAATTCTATAAATGAAATATATATTTTTATCATTTTTATAATTAGTTGTTTGCAAATTCTAATCAAAAACCGCAAATCCTTAACTCATAATGACAAAATCGTTATAAAAACCATACCAGAGGCAGTCTTATCCTTTAAAGAGTTTTCAACGCGTAAAGAAAATGTATCTGAGGAAATCATTATTACAATAGCAGAACTATATCAAGTAAGTTTAAAATAATATTTTATAAACTATAATTATATATTTAATTAAATTTTACTCGACACTATTAGAACGCTGAAAAATTGAATGATTTAGTGGATATACTCACTGCTGGCTTAGCGGGAGATGAATCTCTAGTATCGAATACAATTTTAACCTTCCGTACCATACTGCAGCATCAAGGAAAGAATTTAACTGTTAATACACTAGAGTATATTCTTGAACAAGTCTCAGTATTTTTGGTGCAAAAATCACGTGCACAAACAGAAGCATCGATAGCATTTCTTATAACTTTCATCAAGGTTTTACCGATACCATTAATAGCCAATCATTTGGAGACCATTGTAAGCATATATAAAGTACTTTTAAAGTCAATATAAAAATACTAAAACTTCTAGTTATTAATAGTAATTATTTTCATTAAATATATTATGATTCAGTAACATTTTAAATATATATCAAATATGAACTCATTGCAATGACTTTTAGAGTCGTCTGCCGGAAGCTTGCTTTAATTTATATTTTAATAATAAATTTTTTACTTTAAGTTTTTATTTATATTTTAATATAATTACTTTTTAGATGAAATCACTGTCGGCTATGACAAAAGACACAAAACGTTATTGTCGCATCCATGTTGGTTATTTATTAAAAAAGCTCTGTAAACGTTTCACAGCTGAAGAACTTATCAAATTTGTACCTGGAGATGATGAACTGACACATAGGCGCCTTAAAAAAATACGTAAACAATTACGTAGGGAAACACGCAAAAAATTAAATGAAGAAAAAGATAAAGACGGTGATGAGTCTGATGAAGAATTTGTAGCTGGCTTGGAGAAGAAGAGCGTAACGTAAGTATATTTCATATCGATATATTGTAGATAAAAAAATTTATGATTTAAATTTGTGATAATTTTCTTTTAGAATTGATGACATACTTGCTGATTCAGATTCAGATTTACCAGAAAATATGAGTGATAGCGATGAAGATGACAAAGTTAAATCAACTAAAACTTCAAAGAAAGATCGTAGTATATATATACGAGAAGACCCAGAGGATATTGTAGATTTAGCTGACTTGAAGTCCATTGGAAATGTTTTAAGTAAATATCGTAAAATAGACAACATTATAGTAAACATAATTATTTTATAGTAAATTAATATATATTATTATTATAAGTCATATCATATCGTCTTCCTACATATCATGATCCTTCATTTTTTACTCCTAGTCAAAGACATGATCTGTTTCTATGGTATTAATAATATTGTTAACATCTTTTCGAGTAATGTGATCTCTGATGTTTCTATTGAAATTTGAACGTCAACATAAATTTCAAGCCATTATAAATATGCAACTTTTATAAATAATATATACATTTTTTTAAATATAATTATAGCCAATCGACCAGATATTGTAAAATCTGAAAATGCTAATGCAAAAACAAAAATCAAGGATTCAAATCGTGGATTTAAAACTGCGGAAGATGGACGACTAATTATAACTGATAAAGCTTTACGTGATGCCGATAATGAGAGTGATAGCAGTGAAGATGAAGGTATCGAAGATAAAGACATGAAAAAATCCACAAAGCGTGGTATGGAAGATGATTCAAGCGATGGTATGTAACAATTTCATTATCTTATAAATTTAATATATTTCTAAACTTATCAAAATTTACAGAAGAACCTAGTACCGGGTCTAAAGTAAAGCGTAAATTAAATGATGCTTCTAGTATGCGTTCAGGAAAGACATCTGCCTCACGTTATACTACCGGTGGTAAAGGTATACATCGTCCACTTGGTGTAAGTGACACAGTGTCAATGAAATCAGGTTATACAGCAAAATCAGCGAAATCACAAGGAGGCAATGAATATTCGACTAAAAAAGCTAAAGGTGATATGAAGAAAAAGGGTAAATTGGATCCATATGCTTATATACCGCTGAGTAGAAATACATTAAATAAAAGGTATATTATCCATCTTCAGAGTTTTTTATATATATATTGTTAAACTTAATATACAACATCATAACATGATATAAACTATTTATGTATATTATTTTATTACAGAAAACGGGCCAAACATGCGGGTAGCTTTAAGAATATCGTAAATGGTGCACGCAAAGGCGCACTGAAAGGTGTTAAAAACAGAATTAAGAAATCATATAAGTAATCACATATTAATATTAAAACATTATATAGTATATTAAATAAATAAAGTAAAACAAACGCCAGATATTTGTACATAAATAAATGTTATTTATATTCAATATTATGTATTTAAATATATGTATGTGCTATATTTCATATGTTATATAGTAAAGAGTATGCATAAATAATTAATTTAAATAAATTACTTTATAAATAAGAGAGTATATTTTTACTATCCTGAGTTAAGATTTTACCAGCGAATCATGAAAGTAAATAAAAAGACAAATACGAATATTAAAAATAAATTTTAGTCCTTTTTAAAAGTTAACTTAATCACAAATAAGTTTATATATGACATAAAATCCAAAATAATTTCTTAAACAATATTTTTCTCAATATGGGTTTTTATCCATTCTCCGTCTGGATCATTGCCAGCCATTGTTTCTTCAATGAAATGCATAACGTCATTATTATCAATAAGTATTATTGTGTGTGTTCTACTGCCATAGGATTCATCATCTACACTCACATTAAGCGCACTTAAATACTCGCCCCAGTTGGGTGCACGTCTATTCAATTCGACGTCAGGCCAGAATTTACGTTTACATTTCAGAAGTTCAAATAAATCTTCAATCAATTTCTCTTGTGTTGTCTTAAACATTTTAGGGTCCATTTTATTTTGTGTTTTCACTAAGTTATTCACAATCTCCTCGAAACGTTTACGTCCATAGTGTACTTTTTGAAATGGTGTCTCCGGTAAGCTATTACCAAAGCCATAACATAAACCTTCATCAAATTTCGTTATACTTGGTGGTACATTACTGCAGTGTAAAATACTTGCTGGTTTTGTTGGATCGCTAGAAGAAATTATATGCTATTAGTGTATATATACAGTGAAATGGAAGTACAGTGAAATCTCTCATAAACGGATATCTGTTTGAAAAGAGCAATGTGGCTAGTTCACAAATTTTATTTGTCATTCATAGTACGTTTTTTTAAATCAATAGTTTTCTTAATCGGAAGTAATTACTGGACTCTCTTGCTCGTACCATTTATCACCCAATGAAAAACATTTTTATTGTTGATTTGATAAATGATAAGAATAGTTACAATATATGTCAATGTCCGTTTAAGATAGCTTTCACTGTACTTATGAATATGATCTTATTTCCTTACCCAATTTCAATGGAAACAAAGTTGAAGGCAGTGTATTTTGCACAGTCAGAAACTAAATCTTGGTTATATTTGTCAATGTAACTGTCATAAGTAGAATTAACAAAATCAGCAACAATCATGCCACGCCCTAATAAAAAGTGTTCATTATGTAGTTTACTTTTTGTGGTTGTGGTTGATTTGGTTATTGTTAATGGAACGCCAATTTTCAGTTTGTTGTTGTTGCAGTGCAAATAAATATTATGTGCTTTTTTTTTTATTTGGCAAATAATATTAGAATAAAAAAATTAAAATTACTTAAAATGAGATGCGTAATAAAATAAAAAAAATAAAATATGGAACAAATAAATAAAAAGCTTTATCAAAAAACAAATAATATATGTGCGTTCCAACAAATAAAGAAAAAATTAAATGAATTTTATGCATAATTTCTAGTGGGCAAAGGTTAATCAGTAAAAATTTGTTTTTGTACATAAACAATGCAAATTATTGATATATTTTAAAATATATTTTTAGTATTGATAATTAATTCATACCAATTGCATTCCTGGGCTTGGGCTCACCGGTTAAATTGAGTAAGGCACCAATCTTATATATGCCATTCTTACCGCCAATAGCTAACCATGTGCCACCTTCACGTCCTGGTTCCATATCAATACCTGCGTAAAGAGTTTTTAGTGTTTAAATAGAAAAAGTATTAAATATTTTATATAGAAAAATATTACATATTTTATATGGAAAAATATTGAATATTTTATATGGAAAAATATTAAATATTTTTTGTATGAAATTATTTTACTAACCACCGTAAACATGTTCGGCATTTGCCCATTTTGCTGCAGTCTGCGTTTTGCGTTCAAAAAACTCATCCCGATTAGAAGCCAAAATTAATTTATAGCCAGCAGGGCCAGGATTTGAATTAGCATAAAAAAATATAACACACATTTCAATTTAAGTTTTTTTTTAATTAACTCAAATATAATACGCTGGCAGGTAGTACGTCTAAATGAAGCAATGACCTTAAAAGAAATACAGAAGCGCACAGGCTTAATAAAATTTTTGTTGATATTGCTAATCTCTCGAACTAAAAACAAAGCAATAAAATATATATAAACAATTTTGTAATATGAGTATTTTTATTTGTTGTTTTTTATCTCACCTGCCTCCCAACAGCTGTTTGACAGAGAAATTAGCTACTGTGGAACGCCCGGTTTTATTTATTGTGTGAGGTTGTTAGAGGTACAATGGAACAAAAATCTTTAATAATAAAAAACTCATAATAAATATAATTACTATATTTAATAAATCTATTTCTTTTTTTGTTAAACTACTTTGGGCAACACATTAAGATGTTTTGCTAATATAGGTTTCTTTGCTTCAAATTTTTTAAATTCGTTTTTATTTTTATAATTCAAAGATTATCAGCGTTGTCAAATTAGTCTATTGTGAATGTTTTTTTTTGTGGAAATTTATTGTGACTTCATTCGTATTTTGAGTATGTGTTCGTTTTCCTTGGTGTTTAAAATAATAATAAATCAACAATATAATTTTAAAAATAAAATATACTCAGTAAATAAAAATTAAATTTTATACAAAATCAAGTAGCATAAATTAAAAAAAATATTTGCCATATCTTTTGTGGCACTTTCAATATAACATTATCATACAAACTGTTACTGTATAGAATTAAATAACTGAGTCCTTATTTTTGTGGTTCGATGATTATTTAGTTTAATAAGTTCAAGTTTCTTTGGTACATATGCTCTTCTAAGCACAATAATTCAATTCTTAATAAACTTTATACCTTATGCGAGAGATGATTTCCTAAACAGAACTCTAATGCATTTAATAAAACTTTCTGTACACATTAACAACTAAATTGCAAGTTTAAACAACTATGCTACATCTCATATATACCTATCCCAAATAGTCTACATGCAGTTCTACTAAAATGGTAAATTTTCGTCTATTTAAGCTCAACATCATTCCAGACTGCATCAATCATTAACAAAAATATAGCGATAAGTGCTTTTCAAATTTGTAGATAGTTTACTCATCTATACGAATTTCCTACCAATTTACAACTCTCCTATTGGAAAGGGACTGATTCCAACTGTTGGTTACAAAACTCTCCAATATTTTTTATTTCAATTCGTTGATATGCAGTTTATATTCCTGTTTTAGTAATTCAACACGTTTTTTGTATTCTTTGAAATAAGATTCTGTTCCTTTAAACATTTATTATTTCCAGTCAAATCTCTTTTCCTGGTACTTGACTCAGGACTCAGATTTCAATAACCGCTGTTAAGAATCTATATCCAAATTAAAAATCACTCTATGATATACTTGTTTGTCAGACCCTTATCATCAGTTTGATGTTTACCCTTCACTAACGTCGTCGCATTCTGTATTAGATACGCACAGTGTTCTAGATTTTAAGTCTATTAACTTAAACTTTTTCTTTTGTTAACTCGATTTATACTGTTTTTTAAAACAAATAATGTGGATTTGTTTTTCCATTAAGTTTTTAGCATGGCAAACCCACATATACTTGCAAACATGCGTAAAGCATGATGGGATGTGCTTCATCCGATGTACCTAGTACTGCGCGACAATAATGAATACTGAAATATTGTTAAACACGTATTATGATAAATCAAAAATGTTATTTTCCAAATATGCAAAGCATATTAATTTTTTTAATCCAGATAGTTCAGATACACAATGTGATATTTATAAAGTTAAATTTTGTATTGGATTATTGGCGCTTATTTCTTCATCATGATTGACTCAGAGAGTGACAGAGGTTTCACACTCTGCAAAATTTTTTGATGTAGTATGCTATATTATGTATTATAATATATTATTTTATAAAAGACACATATATGCAAACAAATACATACGTACATATCTAATCAATATAAAATAATTTTAATAATTGTTAAATTTTTTAAATAATTCTTTAATTAAATAATTTAATAATAAAATCACATCTTATTAAGTAAATATATTTAGTTAATATAAAAATTTAATACATATTTGTTGTTAAATATTCTCTTTATGATAAATTCAATAGCTCTGAGCTATATGGTTTCGCCACATAGCAAATTCTTACTATATCTAACTAACCAATTCAATGGTATTAAGTTATTGTTCCGATTACTACTGTATTATTAATACCAGCAGTTATAATCTAATTTATATTTAGAATTTTCCCATGTCTTTCAATTTCTCCTTCATACTTGCCAGCACATGTAGTTGGAAATCGAAAAATTCCGAAGGAGTAAGGTCATACATTCGTATCGTAGCCGCAGCACTATCAAAAAATTTTGAGTACATATCATCGTGTTTGGAGTCATCATAAAAGTTTGTAATACATTTTTTCTTTATCGGTGGTGGTGTTAGGTTTGGTGCTGATGATGGTGACGGCGCTGCTGATGACAATTCGGTTATTACAGGTGAACATTCTGTTGGTGGTGTCAAGGAAGGTGAAATAAATAACGCATCTTGGATTGTGTACTCTTCTTGCTTAATATTGTCTTGTATACTTTGAAATCAATAAATATTGAAAATGAAAAAAAATTATTCGTACAACAAATTTATTAATATTATATACCTAATTGGGTCCATCTCTCCAGTTAAAAACTGTAAATCATGGTAGTATTTATATACTTTTCTTGCTTCTGATCCCATGCTAGTTTTAGTACTAACATCAAGGCGGTATCGGCCGTATTGGTCACGTAAGGACCGCCAGGCCTTTTGTGCGATATCTAAAATATTGAGATCAAATAAATTCTCTCTATTAATTTCATTTCAATAATAATGTAGTTATATTTACCTATCGATATATCTAACTTGGCACTTATATCTGCCCATATTCTTAATTTTGTAATTTTTGATTTATAATTCGGATGGTGTTTATCATATAAAATTGTGTTTGGTCTCACTAATTCAATTAATTTCTTAATTTGTTTATCAGTTAAACTTTGCATATTCTCTGCAGTTTATATTTTTCTTGTCCTCTTTTTATTAATATTTATAAACAAACTGAAAGCTGAAAACAAAATATACACAAACATTTATTTTGACAGTTGCAGCTGAGACGCATATATGTATAAGTGTCTGGTTACAATACAAAACAAATACATACAAGAAGTTCATATGGCACATCTATTGCAACCACTCTCTCTCTCTCTCTCTCTCTCTCTTCTTTCAATACATTCAATTTCCTCTCGTCTATTTTGAATTGTAAACAGGGTATTCTTGTCGTGCAAGAATAGATGTATGTATTTATGTATTCTGTTATACATAAATGAAGTAATTGTGTTTGCTTAATTTAATCTGTACAATTTAAAAACGATCATTTGATTAGAAAAACTTTGAATAGTTGGTTAACAGGTCCATTAATCATTATGAATCAGAATGAAACACACAATAGTTAGTTTCGGACAACTGGTATGCACCGTTTGTCTCAAAGAGAATTCCTACATAGTTATAAACATATGTCCCATGTATATATTACAGCCAAGAAATAATATAGGCCTTTTCGGTGGCTCGCAAGTACAGCAAAAAACAGCAAGTTGCTGGCCTATGCAGGCCTATACTGGCCGCAATGTACGCAAAACAACAACACTATTTTCTCTACCTCGGCCAGCATAGCTATGCTGGCCAACCACATCGGCCAGTAAAAAAAAAAATGTTACCAACGCAATAAGCGAACTATTGTGAACCTTCATTGAAAATTCCAACGAATAGTGCAATCAAATGTCAAAAATTGAGGAAATAAAAATTCAAACAGAATTCAAAAATTTGAAAAATCTTGAAAAGTAACGAAAAAATAATAAGAATGTAGAAATCGTAAGTATTAAGCACATTGAATTTTTTTTTTATGTTAGTTATTACCAAGTAACATTTATTTTATTTCATTTAATTTGTAGTTTACATGCGTAAAAAATTTTTTTATAGAAGTAAAACGTTGCTTTCTTCTCCCAACATCGTCAGTACCTACAAAAATTTACTTATCTTAGTGTTTTATTTTTAAATTTCCAATATTCTTACCATTCCTTTTAATTCCGTGTTTATTTTAATTTTATAATATTTTTATATAAATATATTTGATTTATATGCACATATACAAAATTTGCTGTTTGTCAAAACAAAACATTTGACAGTGATGCCAATGACTCGCGTGGCCAACATAGGCCAACATGCATTTTTTGCCGTACTTGCGAGCCACCGAAAAGGCCTATACAAAATGTTTCTTGAATCAATTATCAATATTAATTAACTAATTAATTATTAATAATTCATCACACATTTATTAAAATTAAAAAATTATTAATAATTAAATAATATAAAATGAATACAACTCAAGAAAATGCATTATTATTTTTAATTTAACACTTTTAACAATTTTTCTATTTTTATTCGGAATTTGCTTTTTAATGTGAGTAACCGTCAGTTTTTTAGTTGGAATAAGAAAAATTAAGTTACCACACTTTGATTATTTTGAAGTAATTTGCAACGTATGATATTTATCATCTGTTTATTTTTTAACAAAATGTTGTTTAAGATGTTTATTCCATGACCCTATTCACACTAGAGCAAGTTGACGATTGAAAATATTTTCAGTAGCGTTCACACTTTCGTGAAACTTTGTCTTGTGTTGTGTAGTCGTATAAAACATTCATGAAAAGTAGTACATAGCAAAATAGCGCTTTTTGACAAAATAATAACATTACAGATGTATGTATATCGAGCTACTGCAAAGTTATTATGGCCGTGTGCGAGTTCAAGTAAATTGAGCTAAAGTAAATTAAAATTTCCTAAGGACTTTTGCATTGCACTTATGCAAATATTTATTTATTACACTTTTTTATTATTTTTGGTTAAAAGTTTTCAAATTTATTTATTTATTTATTAAACATCTTATAAAATATTCACAATCGTAATACTTACTTTAACATACTCGAAATTCTGGTACATACCAACATTCGCTGCCATACCGACATAATATACTATTTCTTTCAATTTACTATCAATTTACTCGCACACGGCCTATGTACCAAATTTGTCAATCAAATCAATATTTGTTGAAACACGGCTAATTATCACAGCTGTTCTTTATACAAAGCAAATCTTTTAGTGTAAATTGGTGAGAACATTATTTAAAATCAAAAATGGATTTGGCATCACTTTTCAGCTGTAACCCACACAAACTCATACCTTGTGACACATGTAGGAAACAGACAGCATTGAAAATACCAGTTGAATGTGTGAAGAATAAAAAGATAGCACGCAGTTAAGAAAGTTAAAATAAATATTAATAAAATAATATTTAAAAAGGCAAAAAATAAATATAAACAAATAGGAAAATATAAACAATAATGTATTTGTCTTATAGCTTTATCATAAAATGTTAATATCAAAGTAGATAATGAATATACGGTAAAGAAAAAGAAAAACATTTACACGCACTTGCCAACATAATACCACTAAATAAATAAATAAATAAAAAGCAACATCGAAAACAGTGAAAAAATAAACGATAAAATATAAAAAATAAATTCACCAGCTTGTAAAAGAAAAAAAATCCGGCAGCAAACAAAATACAGAAAATTGCTAAAAATAGCACAAAAAATCGAATTAGAAATTTCTTACAAATTCACGAAGTTCCTGTCGTGTTAAATTAAATGTCTGAAGGATTTAGTAAAGTGAACTTAAATGCAAAAATTTATTTTAAATATAAAATAAAATTTAATTATATTAGCAGACATACAATTTTAGTGTAAAAATAAATTGTAAATAAATTTTTATAATTCAATTAAAGTGTTAGTGAACTCTTGAAACAAGCATTTTCATATTCAATAAAAGTAAGTTGTTACGAAAATTAATTAAGTGCTTATAATTTAATTAAATATTTAGTAAATATATAATATATTTTTAATGGTGTTATGGCTTTAAGTAGTTATAAAAATGTATTATATTAATGTTACGCATAGTGTGAAGTTACACGTTGCCGCAAGTAGAAGTATGCCTAATAAAAAACATATATATATATATATATATATATATATTTCGTAGATTTCTTTTTTTAAAAATATGTAGAATGGGTCATTTTTTTAAAAAAAATATTAATAGCTGAAGAAAAAACCGCAATAAAAAGTTTTACATTTATATAAATCTACTTAAAATCTATTTTATATAAAGTGAAAAAAATTAAAAATCGTTTTACAATAGTACTCGCCTTTCTTGTATAATTATTTTTGTGTATTAGTTTTTAATAAAAACTTTTTTATAAGTGATTCTTATTTCTAAGTTTGAATAAAAACCAAAATATAAGTAGCAACACTGGAAAAAACTATGAAGTTAATAAACAATAACATAAATAATATTAATTTTTTTCTCTTGATTTTGCAGTATATTATTTTTGATTTCAAAACGTGTAGAATTTTTTTTTATTACAAATAAAAAAATAGAAGTTGAAGTAAATTATAACAACATTTTTTATTTAGATTAGATTAAATCTATTTTCGGCTAACGAAAAAATTGTTTTGCCGTTGCTTATATGTTGCCAACCCTACCGGAATTTTGGAAGCAACAGGTGCCTTTTTCAATCAACGGTTGAATTGTAGTTCTAATATATTGTGACTAATAAAGAAGCACAAAACAAAAATAAATGAAAAAATAAATAAATAAATAGTTAAAATTATAAATAGTTAACAAATAAAAATTTAATTCTCTTCTAAAAGTGATTTAAAAATAATTAATTTAGCCCGCGGGATTCATTCGAGATTCACATATTTTTAAACACTGTGAATAGGAGTCTGATTGGGAATATAAATATGCCTTAAATTGAATTTATTATTTTATGACAATTATTTAGATATAAAGTTAAATACTTTTCTAAATAATAGTTCTATACAATTATTTTCAAACACAAATTTTCACTGTAAAGTAACGTAGTTCCTGAAATGGTTTGATTTCTGAAACAATATCATACTTGATTTGTATTCTTAAAACGTGGACTGTTATACTAGAACAAATAAGTTAGAAACTATCGTAGATAGGTTATGTGGGCATTTAGGGGTTATAAAGGCAAAAAAAAAGAAACCCTGCTCAAAGCCAAAGTTTAAAAAAATGCATAATAAATAATTAATAATACCACATTTACTATAAAGCAAAGCTTTTTAGAAAAAAAAAGATTTGATTAGTATCATACCAGCACAAATACAATTAACTACCAAATCTAAAAACTATTTTTAATACTAACTGTATATAAAACAAGTTGAGAATATAAAACAAACGAATAGAACTCAAATGAGTGAATGCTTAATACCAAGTGAACTTATTTAAGTAACCTATAATGATTGGCAAAACTACTTATGGGTTTTGTTATGTTTTGTCTTGCTATTATTCTATCTACCATGCTACTCTTCTTACACTAGTTGTTTGATTGTATGTATGTATGAATTGATAAATTGCTATTCATTCGAATGGATGCATAAATTGATAAATTGCTTTTAATTCGAATGGATTTCGAATGACTAAATACTAGCACTTAAAAAAGAATGCTATATGTCTATTAAAGCTCTGAATCAAATAAAATTAATACAAAATTAATATTTACACTCAAATCTAATAATAACTTCTTCTGACTAGAAGCTATTTCCTATTAAATGATCTTAAATCATGTAATGATTTATTCATCTATTTAACACAAAAAATTTTATTTGCCTCAAAAACTAATTTTATGAGATTAATAATAACTAGTTTTTGCATTTTTCTTTTTATACGATTAAAAAATTTTAATTTATATTTAATAGCAATTTTAGAAAATTGTGTTTTGTATCAATTTAGTCTAGTAACAGTAGAAATGGTTTTTGCTATGATATCCTATGATTGATGTGAGATCAATAAATTTGTTAGATTTAATGAGTGCTAATCCTGAATAGAAGATAAAGTATTTTTAATGAACTCAAGAAGTGATCTATTTACAAACCATAGCTATGTTAGTAAACCGTTGAGAATATTTTTGTTCCAATTTTATACTCGACATGGTAAACTACAGAAGCGATTGTATAATAAATATTGTTACATATTCCAAGTAATTATTGTATTATTTGTAATTGTAATGTAGTTAGATCGTATATGAAGATAAATTAGTTCTTAGTAACTAAGGACGTAAAGTCCTTCTTCATACCATAACTTCATAAAGTGTGATACTGGCTCTGAAAATATAGTCAGATCATAGATGAAGTCAAATGACTTTTTAGAAACTTAGGATATAATGTCCTAATATGTTCAGTATATATAATATA